GGGTTCCTTCCGCGAATTCGGGGTCGCTCCAGGTGCCCGCCGAGTCCCACGGCCACGGGCTCACTCTACCCGTGGTTTATCTTGATGGGTTGCCGCTGTGCCGTAGCGAACCAACCCTTTTCTGCGGTGCCCCTCTTCACAGCTCGAAGAGGACCGCCATCACGGTTTCGCGCCGCCTCCGGAAGTCGCCCTGTATACATTATGAAAAGAGGCCAGGTGCTGGACAAAAACAACAGCAACAGCAATAGGGGGTGTTGTCATCTCCCTACACTGGTTGTGAACTTTCAGAGGCATCTGGCAGGCTACTTTTGGACAAGGTGTTTCCCAGATGTTGAGTCCTTGAATGTTCTTGGACTCCCAGCTCCTATCAGCTCCAGCCAGCAAAAGCTTTAGAGATGATGGGACAAGTGGTTCAACAACATATGTGGACCCACAGGTGGGAAAGAATGAATTAGGTGGAATTTTGACCTCACCCAGCAAGGTATTTCTTACAGTCCTCCATTTCAGGCTATGGCATAATGCATGAAACCTCTTCCTTCAGTGAGATCACAAGTATCAGAGGAAAAGTGTCAGTTGCCACACTGCATATTACAATGGAAGTACAGTGGTACCTCGGGTTAAGTACTTAATTCGTTCCGGAGGTCCGTTCTTTTTTTTTTATTATTTTTTTTTAAAATTTTTTTATTGCGTTTCTTTTCATAATTTTATACAATCCAATACAAAGTAAGTCAAATACAAGAAACAATTTTTGATTTTTCTTAACAAAGGAAAAAGAAAAGAAGAAAGAGAAAAAAAGAAACCTTGTACTTCCCCACACCTTCCAAGTCTGCATTCTTTGTAATATCAATGTCAGCAATTTGTTACCTTATTTCAAACCTTGTTACAACTTTCAATTATTATGTATCCATATTCAATATATTGTATCTCAAATTTGATGCCTTTAAAATAAACATAATATGTTTGGTTCACCTTGTCCTCTTTTCTCTTTTGTTACTTATTTTGCCATTTACTTTATCATATTTGCTTAAGCATAACCTTTCCCCTAACATGCACTGTCTTAGGATTCATACAACTTATAATGTTTTTGCAAATAGTCTTTAAATTTTTTCCAATCCGCCTCCACCAATTCCTCATCCAAATCTCGGATTCTGCCGGTCATTTCAGCTAACTCCATGTAGTCCATCAACTGCGTCTGCCATTCCACCAACGTGGGCAAATCTTGTGTCTTCCAATTCTTTGCGATGAGTATTCTTGCTGCTGTGCTAGCATACATAAACAACGTTCTGTCTTTCTTTGACACTTTCTGGTCTACCATGCCCAGCAGGAAGGCCTCTGGATTCTTAGGGAAGGTATACCTAAATACCTTTTTCAATTCATTATAAATCATTTCCCAGAAGGCCTTCACTTTTGGGCAGGTCCACCAGAGATGAAAAAATGTCCCTTCTGCCTCCTTACATTTCCAACATTTATTGTCAGACAGGTGATATATCTTAGCGAGCTTGACTGGGGTCATGTACCACCGGTATATCATTTTCATAATGTTTTCTTTCAGGGCACTACATGCCGTGAATTTTATTCCGGTGTTCCATAACCTTTCCCAGTCTTCAAACATAATGTTATGTCCCACATCCTGTGCCCATTTTATCATGGCAGATTTAACTGTCTCATCCTGTGTATTCCACTTAAGCAGCAAGTTATACATTCTCGATAATATCTTAGTTTTTGGTTCTAATAGTTCTGTCTCCAAATTCGATTTTTCCACTTGGAAACCAACTTTTTTATCCATTTTAAAAACCTCTTGAATTTGAGCATAATGTAACCAGTCTCGCACCTTATTTTTTAATTTGTCCTGGCTCTGCAGTTTCCAATTGTCTCCAATTTTTTCAATTATTTCCCAATATTTCGGCCAATAGGCCTCCATATTGGGCCTTTTTCGAGCCTTGGCCTCCATCGGTGATAGCCACCTCGGGGTTTTACTCTCTAGTAAGTCTTTATATTTCATCCAGACTGCAAAAATTGCTTTTCTGACAACATGGTTTTTAAACAATTTGTGAACTTTAACCTTGTCATACCACAAATATGCATGCCAACCAAAAGCATTATCAAAACCTTCCAGATCTAGGACATCAGTGTTTTCTAGCAAAAACCAATCCTTCAACCAGCAGAAGGCTGCAGCTTCATAGTATAACCTCAAGTCCGGCAGGGCAAACCCTCCTCTTTCTTTCGAATCAGTTAGTATTTTAAACTTTATTCGAGGCTTTTTGCCCTGCCAGACAAACTTGGATATATCCTTCTGCCACTTTCCAAAACATTCCACTCTGTCCACAATCTGAAGGGTTTGGAACAAAAATAACATTTTCGGCAATACATTCATCTTTATAGCCGCAATTCTACCTAACAAGGAAAGTTTCAGTCTTGACCAAATTTCTAAATCCTTTTTGATTTCCAACCAACATTTTTCATAGTTGTCTTTAAATAAATTCAAGTTTTTGGAAGACAAATAAATCCCTAGGTATTTCACTTTTTTAACCACAGTTAATTCTGTTTCTCTCTGGAACCCCTCTGTTTCTGTAGATGTCAAATTCTTGGTCAGAACCTTAGTCTTTTGTTTGTTCAACTTAAATCCCGCCACCCGACCAAACTCTGCTATGAGTTCTAGAACTCTTTTTGTACTGGGTTCTGGCTCCTGTAATGTTAAAACTAAGTCATCTGCAAAGGCTTTCAATTTATATTGTTTCACTCCGACCTCTATCCCTTGTACCAACCGGTCCTCCCTGATCATGTTCAATAGCACCTCCAGGACTGATATAAATAAAAGGGGGGATAGAGGACACCCTTGTCGTGTCCCTTTTTCAATTTTGAATTCCTCCGTCACCACATTGTTCACTATTAATTTAGCTTTCTGTTCTGAATAAATTGCTTCTAATCCATTTTCGAACCCCCGTCCCACTCCCATCCCTTCTAAATTTTTTTTCATGAACGTCCAAGATATATTGTCAAATGCTTTCTCCGCATCAATAAAAATCAACACCGCCCTTGTGTTTCTGTTGGTTTGTAAGAGTTCTAAAATGTCAATGATGTTTCTGGTGTTTTCATATAAATGTCTACCAGGGAGAAAGCCTGCTTGATCCTTGTGAATTATTTCATTTAAGACCTTTTTAAGTCTACTTGCCAAAATGTCTGCAAATATTTTGTAATCCACATTCAGGAGTGAGATGGGACGGTAGTTCTTTAGCTGGGTCTTTTCAGTTTCTGTCTTAGGTATCAATGTGATGAAAGCTTCTTTCCACGTTTCTGGTGCCCTCTTCCCGTCCATAATCTGATTGCATACCTCCATCAAAGGTTGAATCAAATAATCCTTCAAAGTCTTATAATATTTGGAAGTGAGCCCATCCGGGCCTGGAGATTTGCCTGGTTGCATGCTCTGAATGGCACCTTCGATTTCCTGTGAGGTTATTTTAGAATTCAAGATTACTCTTTTGTCTTGAGTAATTTTTGATAGTCCATTTGTCTTTAAGAATTGGTCTATCTCGAATTGTTTCTGAGGCCCCTGTGCATACAGTTCTTTAAAATATCTATGGAAACACTTCCTAATTTCTTCTGGTTTCTGAACCATTTTTCCTTCAATCTCTAGATTTGTAACTGTATTTAACTTTTGTCTTTTTTTCAGCTGCCAGGCTAGCAGCTTTCCACATTTATTTGCTGAGTCAAATGATCTTTGTTTCATCTGTTTAATTTTCCATTCAATTTCTTGATTTATCAATTTAGAGTATTGTGCTTGATGGAATTTGATTTCTCTCAGCACTTCTTTTGACTTTGGATTGGTCCTCAATTTTTTCTCTCCCTGATGAATCTTCTCCATTATTTTATCTTTCTTTCCATTCCAGAGCTTTTTCTTGATTGAATTTTGTTGTATTAGAAACCCTCTCATGACCGCTTTACTAGCGTCCCAAATCGTTCTTTTTTCTACTGTGGTGTTCAAATTTATCTCAAAGTAGTCCTTTAAAGTTTTTTGGGCCTTTTTCACAATCTCCTGATCTCTTAAAAGAGTGTCATTCATCCTCCATCTGAAGGAACCGGTTTGAGTAAGTCTGAATTCCAATTTCAAGGCATTGTGGTCGGAGCATGTTTTTGGGCAGATTTCCACCTTTCTGGTCTTGGGTGCCAGCCCTCTAGACGTCCAAATTTGGTCGATCCGTGTCCAGGACAGGTGGGCCTCAGAGAAGAAAGTCCCTTCTTTGCCTAGGGGGTTCCTTGTCCTCCATATATCAATCAAATCCAGGTTTTCAGTCAGTTCAAAAAAAGTTTTCGGCAGTCTGCCATCAGATGTTAAATTTTGATTTTGAGACTTGTCCATATGTGTAGACACCACTCCATTCATGTCACCCATCATTATGATGTTGTTATAGTCCATATAGTCCAGCATAGTCTCATGCAGCTTCTTGAAGAATTCTGATTTCCCATCGTTTGGCGCGTATATTCCTAAAATCAAAATTTTCTCTCCTTGTGTCTGAATTTCAATCGCCAAAATTCTTCCTTGTTCATCTCTTGTTCTTAACCTGAAACTGTTCTTAACCTGAAGCACCACTTTAGCTAATGGGGCCTTCCACTGCTGCCCCGCCGCTGGAGCATGATTTCTGTTCTCATCCTGAAGCAAAGTTCTTAACCCGAGGTAATATTTCTGGGTTAGCAGAGTCTGTAACCTGAAGCGTATGTAACCTGAAGTGTATGTAACCCGAGGTACCACTGTACAGGTCTTGAATATCCTCAGTTGGCATTTATTTGAACCTCTGGAGCTGGGAGGCTGCAGTGGTCAAGAAGGATGTACCATATGACCAGATATATATTGTGTATTTGGTCTTCTCTTTTGACTTTTTTTGTTTGAAAGATAGGAATGTTGAAATAAAGTAAGATTATTTAGCACACACTGCAGCCAGTACTTAATGACTTTTCAGAAGCCTACATTATATACGGTGTAAAAAAAATAATGTATACAACATAAAGAGAAATATGATGCTCCAGTTAGTATGTTTTGCAGGCTGCAGTACATCAGGCCTTGGGGAAGCCTCACTTTAAACTGATGAAGCAAAGGAACCTGTCAGAAGAGTTTTCTGCCTAAATAAAAAATAATAGCTTTCAAAGCTATCCAAGTTGTTAGAAGTAACAAAAATAACAATGTTCACCTTAAACAGCCTTCTAACAACGCCATCGAGAACATCCCATTTGGTCTTTCCACTGACGCCTATGCAGCCGATAAGGAAGAGGCGAGGCCTGGAATCCTAAAGGCATACAAATATGTTAAAAGAAAGGCAAATATGGTGCTGTTGCAGCACTATATAAATTATTTCACCATCATCCAAGCTACTTTGGTGTACATCCCTGGGCCGAGACATAACCCCTACATGTGTGCCGTTGCAGACCTATTCTTTGACTAGGAAAGCATTGTACACTGGGGATTTCTCACGCAAATAGGGCAGAACCTAGACACAAAGAATTCTGTATGCTCACTGGCACCTTGTCAAATTATGTGCCAAGTTCCTAAACACTAGTGCAGTCAATTTAACCACTTTGCTAACTGAAATATATGGGGGGGGGTGGTTGTGAAATGATTTATTGAATTATGATCAGAATTAAATTATATCCAGAGCATTTCCACAATCCACTAATTTAGGAATCCAATCTAAAAACACAGGTAGGATTAGTCTGGAAGGAACCACTTGTGTCAAACCTGTGCTGACTTCTGCAAATCATTGTTACCATGAAGCTTACAACAGATCCCTTTAGAAGTCAAAAAATGTGCTCCCATGTGACATTACAAGCCTTCTAAACCTAGCAGGCAAGTTATGCAGATAAACAGGTGCCTCTCTCATTACCCTGCACCTGATCTAGGTCTTGGATCACTCGTCACTAGTAATGTTTATTTTAAAAGTTAATTTAAAACCAGTGAACAGGAGAAAGGGCATGGTTTCAGCTTATACAAGACAGATCTTGAAAACTTCCTCCAAGCTAAGCATGTTTGGTTCAATTTCTCTTTTATTCATGCCAAGTTCCTAGGGTACTAGCAGGTCTGGACTTCACAACATCCATGGCTGCTGGCACTGTGTCTAGACTAGAACTCCAAGCATATTCATCCCATTAGAAGCCGTGATAAAGGAAAGGTCCTAGTGGGAACCAGGCCAAAGCTGATCTTTTGAGAATGGAAGTACTTTGAGGGCGGGGTTGGAGAGTCCTTTTTTTCTTAAGTCTTTGAAAACTAAGGAAATAGTTGGATGCAACCCACTAAAATAAAGTTTCAACAGAGCAGACCCACTGAAATGAATTGACCTAGGTCAATCATGTCCATTCATTTCAATGGGATTACTCAGAGTATGACTAATATTGCATACAACTTATTTCTGTAGATTTTCCACTGGAGTATTCCGTAGTTCTGCTCTCCCCACAAGGGGAACTTTTTCATGCAGCTGATCAAAGGATTACAGCAAAGCCCTGAAGGGATTGACTTTGAAGTTTTTTTACCTGAAATCAGGTGAGTAACAAGTGGTCAGCCAAAATTGGTCTCCAGTGGTTGGAGGAGTTCAGGATCTGGCCCACTGGCCAGATCCTCATTTTTGTTCCTGCATTAAACCCTTTTTTGTATGCTTCAAGCAGTTTCTTTAACCTTCCATTCAATTAAGCATAACATTATTCTTATGATCAGCCATTGGGTCATTAGTCATTTCCTAGAAGCAAACTTCTAGGGACGCGGGTGGCGCTGTGGGTAAAACCTCAGTGCCTAGGACTTGCCGATCGCATGGTCGGCGGTTCGAATCCCCGCGGCGGGGTGCGCTCCCGCTGCTCGGTCCCAGCGCCTGCCAACCTAGCAGTTCGAAAGCACCCCTGGGTGTAAGTAGATAAATAGGGACCGCTTACTAGCGGGAAGGTAAACGGCATTTCCGTGTGCGGCTCTGGCTCGCCAGAGCAGCTTCGTCACGCTGGCCACGTGACCCGGAAGTGTCTGCGGACAGCGCTGGCTCCCGGCCTCTAGAGTGAGATGAGCGCACAACCCTAGAGTCGGACACGACTGGCCCGTACGGGCAGGGGTACCTTTACCTAGAAGCAAACTAGTGACAAAACCTGAGTCTTGACTGCATTGCTTCAGACTACAGATAGGACTTCAAGTGACAAAAATACTTAAAATAGTGAACGATGTGGGTTTCCTCGCAAAAACTTCAGTCTACGTAGCATGCCAACAGACCTAGTCTCTGATAACGTATAATGGAAAAAGGTGAAAAGCAAACTCCACACATAACTCACTTCTCTCCATTTAACTTCATCCTGAAAACTGACAACTATTTTAACATGCCTGCCACCTTCTTTTCGAGAAGAACCATCGCTGGGGTCATCCAGCAGCATGTCTGTGGACAGGAAACACAAATTCTTTTTAGTTACAAATGGTGAGCTGGGAAAATACGCTCATATGGTTATTTATTTCATTTATAAAATAATTTACGAGTTGGCTTTCAGCTCAAAAAGGGTCCCTGAGCTACTTAAAGGTTTTAAATTTGTAACTTTTTTTTAAACATACAACCCTATCTAATTCTACTAAGAGTGGATCCACTGAAATTAATAAGACATGAGTTAGTTATGAGTAGGACTAGCATTGGATACAACCCAAGACAATGACAAACAGATTCAGAACAAAGGTGGGGGCGAGAATCACCTTTGAAGAGAGAGAGTAAAATGAGTGACATTCAAAAGCTGTGTGTGGACCAAATAAGTTTTAAGGACCCACCCACAACTAAAGAAAGATGAAGTCAACCTAACCTCTCCTAGTGGTGAGACAAATAGCAGGACTTCTGAAGCAGATATTAATTTTTAAACATAAAGGGTAGGTTCATAGTCTTGATTTACCCTGCTACAAAAAAAATAAAAAATACCCTACGGTATTACTCTTTTTGTGAATATATGCAAGGCTGTGTTTACTCCAGCCCTTACAGATAGATGAAAATTATGCACCAAGAAAAGTGTAGGTGCAAGTGTTTATGTTACACAAACTTTCAAACAGTTGCTTGCTTTGGATAATTAGATTTTTAATTGCTTGATTCTGTGAACACTGCCAGGTTTGGTGCTTTCGAAATTGTGAAGCGCACACTTCTTGGAATGTACGTAAGACTTGAAATAATGGAAAGACATTCCTCTCGCAATCTGGAACAGACATGGAAGAAATGAGGGAAGACCACAGAAAAATTAACAGCGTTTTCTCTCGAAAGAAATTTTACTTTGGCAAATCGGTGCAATTAAACCAACTCCCAACATGATTTTGCAAAGCTGAAGTCATAGGTGGAATGCTACGCTTCAAAGTGAAACAGAGCTGCCAATGATATTGTAATGGAAGGGTTTGTCCCAGCCCTTCCACCTTCACACCTTAGCCACCAGCGATTATTTACAGCTATTATTTATTTACGGCTACAGGATAAAACCTGTTGGCTGCCCTACTCACCAAGACTCGCTGACTCTGTGAGGTTCAGGCTGTGCTGGGAAAGACCCATGGACTGCCTTGGAGAGGATGAAATGGAAACCTGAGATTGGGCCCTGCTGCAGCTGCCTTGATTTTCCGACTTCAGCCGGTCATTTTCTGCTTTTAGTTTCTCGATCTCACTCTAGATTAAAACAAGAAAACAGCCAGTAAAGGGAATGGAAGGTGCATGCCCTTTCAGCTTTTTTTATACACAAAGAGAGATAAAAATCTCTTACACACACAAAACAAACAAACAAACAAACAAACAAACAAACAAGAGATACAGCTTACCAGCTGGTTAACTGTCTCTCGCTATCCCCAACAGCTTTCAATCAAAGTCGTTTCCTTTTCAAGCTTTGCTAGTAGACCAGGCTTCCCCACTTTATCCATCCCCTCACCTTGGCCTTCCCAAAGTCAATCTTCCCCCAATCAGGCAGAATTACACATGAGAGCTGATAAAATTTTCATGGCAATCTTCTTTGAATTGTAATGAGACCTGCAGGGATCTCTGCACTTTTTGTAGCTGTACTGTTTTTTCTTTCTGAATGATGTGGTGGCTGTTGTGTCCTCTCTCTTTCTCGAGTAGCCACTGAACTTCAAGGCTGAATGGCATCTGAACTCTGGCCTCCGAGGTCCTAGTCCAGCACTCTAACCACTACACCACACTGGCTCTCACATTTCCATGTAACAAGGCCCAAAAGCACAACAGAGATGCACCAGAAGAGAAGCTAACTTCAGAGAAACACATTTTTCAAGTCTTGCTTTAAATGGGCTTTCTGACGATGGGTGTGGTTCTACTCTGCTGCATATATGGTTTTTTGGTATTATTGTTTTCAGAACATTTTCTAGGTTTTAATATATGTTTGGATGTCACTTTGAACACCCATGTTGAATAAATAACAAAGCCATAAACTGCAAGTAAAATAAATGAATTATAATTAAAACGGTGGGATCGAAGAGCCAGATTTATGAAGCGGAAATGACAGACACGTGGGGATGTATAATATCTATCTATTCATGGCAGAATGTAACCAAAGAGTGACCACCTTGCCTCGCCCTATGGCCCATCCACACACTTTGGTGACAATTAGTGGCCACTTTAATGAGCATGGCTCAAGGGTCTTGCCTTGGCATTTGCTCTGGAATGAAAAATATAGTGTTACGTAAAATCTTTACAGAGAAGCTCTAATTTTAGGTTTGGCGTGTAGATGCGTGTGTTGATATGGATCAGTAACAACTGAATAAAAAATAGGAATCACAGAGTAAAAATAAATGGACAGTTTTCCCAATGGAGATATATATATAGGAAGTGTAGTTCCCTGAGGTTCGGTTTTGGGAATTGTGCTTTTTAACTTTCCACAGATTATATGGAGTTAGGAGAGAGCAGTGAGGTAACCAAGTTTTGTTGGTGATACCTAACTGTTCAGGGCAGTTAAAACAAAAGGGGGTAGTGAGATGCTTGGAAAATATCTCTCCTAACTAGGTAAGTGGAGAGGAAAATGGCAAATGCATTTCAATGTAAGCAAGTGTAGAGTGATGCGGTGGGGGGGACCCCAAAACTAAATTTCACATGTTTGCTCATGGGGTCTGAACTGACAGTGACTGACCAAGGAAGAGACCCTGGGGTTGTAGTGCACAGCTCGATGAAGGCGATGACCCAGCGTGCTGCTGCTGTGTAAAAGGCAAATGCCACGCTAGGGAATTATTAGGAAAGGGACTGAAAATAAAACTTATGATATCACCTTTAAAAAAGGGAGACCTGATAGAGGTTCGTAACATGATGCAAAGTGTGGAGAAAGTGGATATAGAAATGTTTCTCTCCCTCTCTCATAAAAGCAGAGCAATGAAGGACAGTTCAGGAGGGACAAAATAATGCTTTGGGAGTCAGTATGCCTCTGAACGCCATCTGCTGAGAATCACAAGCAGGGAGAGTGATGTTGCACTCAGGTCCTGCTTGGGGGGGGGGGTTCCCACAGGCATCTGTTTGCCCCTGTTTGTGAGAATGCTGGGCTAAGGAAGCCCAGCAGGGCTTTTCTAAAGTTTGCATGTGCGTTGCTGCAGTTCCTTCCTACCTGCATTCTGTTCATAGCTTCCCGAAGTTGGTCAAGTTGGTGGGCGGAGCTGAGGGCCTCCAAACGGATATCGGTTAGCTTCATCTCTTTGTCTCTCAGCTCATTTCGCAACTGCATGACTGTTTCCGCTTCACTATCGATACATTCTGAAATCCTGGGAAAAGATAATAACGAGCCATTCACCGAAGAGCTTGAGAAGCAAAAATGCTGAACGTTAGCAAAAATCAAAAGTGTCATTGCTCTGCTTTCAACCAGATTTTTGTTTGTTCGGGGGGACTTGGCAAAAATGGTGAGATGAAGGGGACCCTATCATTAGGAATGGTCTCAGACTGCCCAAGGAAAAAAAGTATGATGACAGCCAGCGGAATATGGGCAGAGAAACTACCATTTTGGTTGTGACCTATACAGAGTTTGTTAAGCTGCTGTTAAACGTACAGTTGTTCATTGGGAAATCTATTCAGCCTGAAAATCTCAGGTAAATTAAGGAGGCATAGTAGCAGCAGTCATTTGGAGATTGATGGCCTCAAAGAAAGATTTAGTACTCAGCAGGTGTAGTGCACAGCTGGGCGCCCCTGTATGATTCTGGAGGGCTTTGGAATCCTATACCTTTTCAGCTTACTCTGAACTGTTCAGGCTTTTTTAAAAAAAGAAAGAAAGAAGTAGTTTTATTCCCCTGGCACCAGCTTTCTCCACCCTCCCACCTACTTAAATTGAACAAATTACTCCCTAACGCATAAAAGACAAGCAGCACCCTTGCCATTTTCTGGCAATTTTTCATATCACGTGTATCCTGTGAATAAATCTTTTTTCCCCCAGCTTGGCTTCCCCAGTCCTCAGCAGTATCAAAAACCAATTATATGGTACTGCAGTCAAGAAACAACAAAGCAAGGGGAGAGCTATGAATAAAAATGGTGCTTTACCATCCATGCAGTGGCATAGCTTGAGGGGGCCATGGGACGGGTGCACAATCTGTGGGGGCGCGAACCAGGTGCCCCCCTGCAGAGACCCCCCTTGCGCCCTGCCAGCGCCAGGGGCTGGAGAGCACGGAGGGTGAAGATCGCCCTCTGTGTGTCTTGTTCCCGCCTGGCATGCCCAGCCACAGTTCCCCCTTCCCAAGGTCAGTCCTGACCCAGGGGTGGAGAGCAGCTGCAGTGCCTGGCCGCAACTCTGGAGAGTGGCCATGGCACGCCCAGCCGAGGCTCCTCCTTCCCTGAGTCAAGGTTGACCTGGGGGCAGAGTGGCCTGACCCAGGGGCAGAGAGATGCTGTGGTGTGCAAGGAAGCTCCTGCTTCCTTGCCGCCAGCTCCAGTAGAGTGAGGAGAGTGGGTGGCTATGTTGCCACCCACTCTCCTGGACTGGCGTGCACGAGTGCACCCCTAAGCTAGTGCCACAGCGGGCTCCCTCTGTGCCCCATGTGCTATTTAGATACTGCCATATTAGGGATGCTTCCAAAGTTCTTTCAGTTCAGGCTAAGAAACTAACTTTGAGGGCCTGCCTCAAATACAAGGATTTTTTTAAAGTTTGAGGTTCTTTTGTTCCAAAGTTGTTCAAGCTGGAGAATTCCTAGCTTCTCCTTGGCTGTTTCTGCTAGCCTTCCCCTTCTCCAAAGATCATCCTTGCCTGCTGCCATCCTTCAAACCATATCCCCCCATCCTTTTCCTGCCTTGAAGCTGCTGCAGTAGTAGCAGCAGCAGCAGCAATGGTGCATGGTGAGGGGAAGAGGAGGAGGATTCCCTCCCCTCTCTTTCAGTCTCCCAGACTTTCTGGGTAACAGTGAGGTGTAAGACCATGGAGCACTATGGAAAATATTGCTTCTAACTACTTTCCAGTCCAATGAATATTTTAAAAAATCCCTTAGTTTGGGAATTCTGTGTTCACAATGGAGTACTTGTAAACTTTTGGTTTTGTTAAGACTGACAAAACTGATGACAGAAACATAAAGTGCCAAGGACTAAATGATATCAGCAAAGTGCAACCAACTCAAGAAATTCAACTATATAAAGAAACTTTGGATTTCAAGCATTGATACAATACATCTTGATAAAATACAGTCTTTGCTTACATGACTGTCAGGCTGAAAATATTATGTAGGCTGAATCTGGGAAACATTAACATTACATATATCTATTCATAGTGCTCTTCTGCTTTCTAATAAAGGGTACACTCAGAAGCCAAATAAATCAGTGCTGAAGCCCTAGGCAGCCTAGTGCTCTGCTTTTCTCCTCCTTAATTCTGTAGGCCTGTTTATTCCTCAGGTACTTGGTACTTGTCAAGACTCGTCACATGCATACTTTGACTGATGACAGGCACCATCATAAAAGACATGATGGATTACATGGCTTTAAGCTTTTGCTCACCATTCAGTACCACAGGGATAGGATAGGATAGTTTCAGAGTGATGAAAATGAGAGAACATAGTTGAAGATAAGTGAGAATTTTAAAAATAAAAATATATGATTCTATGACATCTTAATCTACAGGGATTTTAATTTCAGGATTTTCTCAGAGTCAAGTATTCCCTGTTTTCTAATCTCTACTAAATTCTGTATTTTACCATCACACACAGTTGACTATAAGGGGCAGTGGAAAATCATGTTAACCATGGCGGTTGCATGGAAGAAGAATATTCAAGCTTTGCAACACTGTTTACATTCACCATTTCCTGAACCCCTTCAATAACCTTTGACAGCTTCTCTTGAGCCTTAGAGTCTTCCTCAAAGCTACAATCTAGAGTGGACGTTTAAAAAATGTCCTCTCAACAACACTTTGATGACTTCTGGGTCTGATTTAGCAATTTAAGGTATACTGTGGATAAGTAAGCATCACTGTATAAATGAACAGCCAAAAGCAAGCAAGAAAAAGGATAAAGCAAATACCCACATTATAGTTGGCCCTGGCTTCAGGTACCTGACTAAATAAACCTCAGCTGAAGAAAATCTACTTAATCCTTAGTGTCTTGTTCTTTTATAGAGTCCACAGAAAAATGGACTCCAATTCCAGCATAAAACAACAGCAACATGTCAACAGGAACTCTTTTTTAACATACAAACTCAACTCACAGTGAATTAGAATGGGACGTTCTCAGTAATGGCGTAGAGATAACTGAGCCATTGTGATGCAGTTTTGGCGATGAAGGCAGGGAACAATCCGTCATCTCCTCGATATCTGAATGAGAAGAAGCTGACTTAGGGGACTTCTTTTTACCAAATGCTTGTTTGAAGGAACTACGCAACTGAAAGAAAAAGAGCAGAACAAGAAAGATTATACATAAAACAAACTCTGCCTTATGACGATAAGTAAGGAACAGGAGAAAATAGTTAGCATGCAACACTTTAAAAAATGGTTACAAAAGTCCATTTTGGGCAGTACAAATTGACAATGGAAGTACAGATTGCCACCTTTCTGTTCTGGAAATCTTTACACTGTGTTTAAGAAGGACATTGTCCGAGACACTGCAAAAGTGCTGACTGTTGAGAAGCCCTATTCTGAAGCACACCTTTCCACTCTGAGACATTGCAATTTTTTTCCGGCTCAAGGACAATTTTATTACGGTGTTATCACAGGTTGCAGTTATGAAATGACATGGCTCAGATGAGGTTATTGATGCTGACAGAGTTAATCATGTAAATGGATTAGTTAGCTTTGTATTTTAAAATTTAAAATACATCTTTCTTACCTCGTTGACCTGCCAGAGGAAGTACAAGCAAAAAGGGAAGCGGGAAGGAAAAAAAGACAAGTTTTAACAGATAAAGCCTGTGACAGGGAAAGCGCTGGATTTCTCAGACAAACATGAACCCCACCCATCCACAAAAGCACACACACACAAAACAAATCATTTTACCATGGAAAATAATATTGTAAAGCATGTCATCTTATGATCAGAATAGGCCTGGGACATTTCACAGAGCTGAAAGGATGATGTACAGAGTTCAATATAAATTCACATTGGATGGGATTCACCTAGCCAGTCCTGTCAGCAGAAGCCCTGTGTAAGGAGTTCTGCTTGCACAATTGGGCTCTGCCTCTCTGTGCCCCACCTGAAATCGGCTTGGCTGGGGTCAAGGTAACCCCCAGGACAGCATGTGGCAGAGAAGAGGGGGGACTGTTCTGTCAGGGAAGCTGCAACACTTGTGCAGACAGAATGATTAGAAGAGCATTATGATGAATTGCAAGTCACCCAAATTATCTCCTATCAGCCCAACAAAGGATCTCACATAATCCTTCAAAATGACTTTGCACAAAAGCCCCATTATCAACTTCTCCACCATACATTTGGTCAAGTGCACATTTGTCGGACCCGAACATAATCCCTCAGAATTACTGTACACAAAAACTCTATGCTCATATTCTCTGCCACACATTCTGGCAAGTATACATTTGTAGGGCCTATACACATGACCATAATCTCTCAAAATCACTGTGCACAAAAGCCCTGTACACAATCCATCAAAGTTACTGACCATAATAACCCTATTCTCATTTTTTCAACCACATGTTTTGTCAACTATACATTTGTAGAACCTCCTGCACACAACCAGGTCCCCAATCCTCAACACATGCCCTGTATGTATAAAGCTGTACACCCTTTCCACTCTTGGTCTGAGGTGCAGAGATCAGGGAGCCTCAAGGGGAGACAATTCCTCTCCATATGCTGATTAAAAGAATGCAGGAGGTGAGAACAGTGCTTAGACTCTTGTAAATTACTGGCCTCCCATAGTATTCAGCAAAAACAGGAGCAGGCCTCAGGCTGACATGCTCTTTTCCACTACCGACATAAAGTTATTTCTGTCCCATGACAGAATTTGCATTGTGAAACTCTTGAAAGGATAATGAAAATACTAGAGAAAGAAGTTTATTGAGGGTAAGGGAGGGCCCATTTTCAAACAAGCATAAGTCAAGATCCAGAAGGGGAGGAAGTGCAGAAACCCAGATACTGGAGAATATTAATGTTGGCAACTCACCTGCAGTTTCATTGTTGCAGGGGTGGGGAAGTCAACCTTTTCCAAGGAAAAAGCCTTAGTGGGCTGAATAGGATCTACAAGTCTTATGTTAGCTAACCCTTTTTATAGGGATAGGAGGCAACATCTCTTTATTTGCTTACAACACACAAAATCCAAAGACGCAAAGGGACTACAGGAACTAAGTTCATCTGTTCAAACTACGATAAAAGCAACGTCACGATGGCAGAGGTAGTATCACAAAAAACGGGATTCGATACCTTTCCTCCAGCACATGGGACCTTGCATACAATAAGCGGCGAGCAATGAAGAAATGGGAAGTGAAAATGGTTATTTTGAAGGCTTCTACCACAAATTAAGTTTAAAGACTGATACACAAAGGTCTCACTTTCCGAAAACAATGCATTCCCAGGAAATCATTCATTAGGTTTGCATAGAGAGTTGTTTCCTATGGGAACACTTCTATTCAGTGCTTTCTCCTGCCATGCTTTTTGCCCGAAATTGCAGCCACCAATCAGCAAAAGCCAAACAAAGGAAAAGCTGATTTGTCCAATCACTCCTGCTCCCTGATTGTACCAAACTCTCTCCCTCTGCCTGTAATGGTTGCCACCGACCAGCAAAAAAACAAGGATGGGTTGGACAAACTCTGGCTGTTTGGATATCTGACTCAGCCAATTGTATAGCAAGGTTTGGGTATAATTCTTTGCATTTGGACAACTGAGATTTTGGATAATAAATGTTCTGGTTGCAGGACCTGTGTGTATTTTTGTTTTGCCAAGGCAAAAGTAAAAAGAGGGCCCAAGGTATAATGAACATAATTAATACTTTTACTAAGACTACTCAAGAGAGTGGAGCTTTTCCTTATGCAGACAGCTTACACACACATTTATCACGGACACAAATACTAATTACTATTTGACTGCTAGATTTTAGCAACTGATTTCTATTTAAAGTAAAATCCACCACTTCCAACTCCCTGTGCAGATGAACAGCATAACACTCAGTCATAGAATTACTTTATGCTATACTTGATCTTAGCCAAAAGGCTGGTGATTACTTTTTGGTGTGAATTCTTAACAAGTATTGTACTGAAATTCACATTTCCACACCTATGGCATGAAAAATTCATCTGGAGGAGCAGTATGTGTGTGTGTGTGTGTGCGCGCGCGCGTGTGTGTGTGTGTGAAACTAATTCTTCCCTTGCATACCATTTTTCCAGTCAGAATTGTTTCCCCTTCTAGGCTGCTGTTGGCCCCATTATATTAAAAATACACCAATTTTGGTGACCATAAGCTGAGACAGAGTCCATACTTCACTGAACAGCACAGTGGAAGGGGTTAAACCACCACTTCAGCTGCTCTGAAATTAGAAACCTTGTAGATGCATTTCAGGGAGGGGGGGGAATTGAGAGATCCATGCACAGATCTCCTGTGGTACAACATGTTGTTTGGATGTCAACCACTTCCAGCCAAAACTTTGCCAAGTCCTAAAAATGGGCATAAGTTAATATTTATTCACAGAAGAAGAAGAAGAAGAAGAAGAAGAAGAAGAAGAAGAAGAAGAAGAATAGTAGTAGTAGTAGTAGTTTGGATTTGATATCCCGCCTTTCACTCCCTTTAAGGAGTCTCAAAGCGGCTAACATTCTCCTTTCCCTTCCTCCCCCACAACAAACACTCTGTGAGGTGAGTGGGGCTGAGAGACTTCAGAGAAGTGTGACTGGCCCAAGGTCACCCAGCAGCTGCATGTGGAGGAGCGGGGTCGCGAACCCGGTTCCCCAGATTACGTGTCTATCGCTCTTAACCACTACACCACACTGGCTCTCGTCCACACTGGCTGTCCATCATACTCATTTTAGTTCAAGGCAGTGCATTTACATAGACTACTTGGCTCATGTACTGTGTTTTCTGTAATGCTGATAAGACACACACACTTCAGTTCATTTGATCTGCTCTGTTGAAGCATACATACCCAGTTCTTTCTTTTCTTTTTCTTGGAGTCACATTCTATGTTGCTTCCCACACTGGAATGGCTGGTTGCGCTGTTAATGCTAGAGACACTGTCCGAGGAGTGCTGCCTCCGGATCCGCAAATCAGTGGTTTGCGCAGTCCCACTTCCTACATGGTAATTAAACCTAGTTAAATGCATTCAGAAATGGCATCGTCCTTTTTCTTCCTATACATGGACATTCTCCCTTGCTGCCCCTTGCTATCAGATGCAATCAAAATTGCCTGCCCCACCTTCTTCATAGCCAGCCCAGAGAACTATAATAGTCCTGTGCTGGTACTGGCTGGGGCACATGGTACCGTATTTTTCCGTGTATAAGACTAATATAAGACTAGGTTTCCCCCCTAAAAAATAATGTCAAAATTAGGGGGCGTCTTATAGACGGATACATCCCCCCACTTTCTTAAATCCGAGTCCCCCAAAATAGGGGACGTCTTATACATGGGGGTGTCTTATAGACGAAAAAATACGGTAGTTGTAGCCAAAATATCTGGAGAGTTTAATCACTGAATCTCTGTTCCTCCTGCCCTACTATATCCTAGCATGGATCCAGAATTGGCCTCCATAGTCACTTACGGACACATCATTAAAACAGTGTTCATGGAAGACAACCTTACTTGGCCATGATTGATTGCCAAAGAAGAAGAAAGAAGACTATCCTAGCATGGCAGAATAACATCACTATGTGGGTGATGGAGCAGGAAGTGAATCTTGACTGCTGAAACAACAGAGCAGTGGTGGTTATGTTAGATGGAAGAGGCAAAGCAATGCTGACGACTGGGTATGGGGACTGTGGCACTGGAAAAGAAACTGCTAGGGAGATGTGGGTTGCAGCAAGGGACTCTACTGTAATATTGTGGGGATTCCTAAGCTACAAGTTTATAAACAGTATTAGTAACAATAGGCCTACCACTGCAAGAAATAAAGTTCAGTTTGATGATTAAACACATAGTCTATCTCTGGAAAAAGAACTCTGCAAAACTTTGCATCAGCTATTACCAAGGGGATGAATGCCCTCAGAGCGTTACACTGTTATTGAAAGGGAAGGCTGAAATCTTTCCTTTACCTTTGCAGGCGAGCTCAGGTGTGTTAATTACACCATTTATGGCAGCCTGAGCAGCAGCGTTTTGTTTTTTCAGTAGTTCAATAGTTTTTCTTAACTCATTCAGTTCTGAATCCTGCAACACACACAAAAACAAACAAACAAACGAATGAATGAATGAATGAATGTTGCCTCTGGATTTTCTCCAAAGAGTGGCCAAGCAGCCTGTACAGCACTAAAAGTTGAGACCATGCAGTCAAGCTGGATGGATGTTTAATGGGGACTCTAAGGTGAGTTTGAATCTAGTACCCGAGCAGTGGTCAGCATTCGTAACCTGAGGTATGACTGTACTGTACTAGATAAAATTCATAGAAAATGCATTATTTGTAGTTTGCATATATATTACAAACACATGCAAAAAAGCTAAATTAATAGTAACAAAATACTAAGGGAGTGTAATATTAGCCCAGAATACGGCCTGAAGACATCAGTTGGTGTTCTACTGCTGGAACTAAGCAGGTCTGGTCCTGTAAACTCTCTTGAGAATGAAAGACCACCTGGGAACCAGAGGGAAGCTGCTTAGGGCTCTTTGGAGGAAAAACAGGATACAACTGAAATAAGTATTTATTGCTTCCAGTCACTGCATAATTGGTCTCTGCGACCCCTCTAATGTACAGGCACTGACATGCTCATTTTGTGAAAACGATGAGAGACAGGTTTAAAACACGGACTCAAGAAAGTGCAGGGAATAGGAACTAGTGTCACCAGATAACATTTAGTTGCTAGTGCAAATGGTCTAATACCTCATTTTCACCCCACCACTAACCCCAGAGAGAAAGTTTATACTCAGTTGTCACTGGAACATCAGCAGCACATAGATGCCTGAGAAGTTTTGCTTTACTCTGCAGCCCAATCCCAAAGACATCACTTTACTACGAACCCAATTTTAAAAGTTCTACTATGGAATCTATGCTCATGAAAAATGTACAAGGGAGCTTCAGACTTGCCTTCTGTTCTGCTGTCATGGTAAGGCTTTGTAGTCTAATGGTCATATTTCCTAAGCTCTGTTCAAATGCTGCCACGAGGTGAGCCTGTAAGTTGAATTGCATTACACAATCAAGACTGTACCTTTGTAGACTGTTTGCAGAATAATGCAGAAGATAACATTACGGCATGCAGAATGTAATCCACAACCAGCTAGTCAAGAAAGAAGAGCACAGACAATTGAAACCTGGCAAACCTAACATTCCTGAGATGACAAAACCATCAAACTAAGTAGCCACAAAATAACCACTGATGCTTCTGCATCTGGGTCTAAGTGTCACCTGCCATGAGCTTGCAGTTCCTGGCTTGGAGCTGTGGTAACTGCTCCAATCAGTCATAGCAAAGTGTCATAAACTGACCTATGAAGTCTCTTCTGGCCTCAGGTATGTTTATACATGGTGAATCAGCTTAGGATGGCAACTTTATAACCACTTCCTCCAAGCTAAGGAAAAGCCATGACAAATATTTATCCCGTATCGATGTGGTACAGTAAAGCCTTGTGCAGTCATTCCAGCATTGTTCATCATCAGCACATAGTTGCCTTAACCTAACTAACTGTTCTCACATTCACCGTGAAAACAACCATGAAGAGTATGATAACACTGGGATATGTGGCTCTTGCTCCCTCTGGCCCCTATAAAAACAAGCCTGGCTGAACAAGTGAGAAAAAAATGGGAGAAAATAAAACAAGCTTAGAATTGACTACATGTGTTATGAAGCTAAAATGTTTACTTAAAAAATACTGGAGCGAGTAATTCCCGCTTAAAAAGATCTGCCAACTATTCAAAGAACCAGCGAAGAGTCTCAATTCAAATACTAGTAGGAAAAGAGGCATTTAAAGGGGGAACAGTTACTACATTCCAGAGTGCTGATTAAGGTGATCTCTCTGTTAGATTTGGATAGTTGATGTGAAACCAGCCCAAAGGATCAAAAGATGTTGCTATTTGACAATCGTTCCAAGGATAATATCTTAGTGGGTGTTAATTAGTATTGTATTAATTAATTGATCAACACAACCACCCCACCCTATGCCCTCCCCAGATCTACTAGAGGGCTTGGGGAGCCCCTAGAACAGTTTTAGGGGGACACAGGGAGAGGAGGGGGAGAGACTCTGCTGCACATTACTCACAGTAATGGGACACATTATTTGGATACCACCCACAGTTAGTCTAAAATGTATTATGTTTAAAAGTTAATGTATTTTTGATACCAAACTATATCCGAAATTCTTATAAACCAGCTCACTGTTTATCACCAGATTGCTTCTGTCTGTCTGTCTGTCTGTCTGTCTGTCTATCTATCTATCTATCTATCTATCTATCTATCTATCTATCTGTATTGTACTCACATTGGCAGTCAACTGTGTTGTCAGAGCCGAGACTTTCTCTTGGGATGCATCCAACTCCCTCCTCAGCTTGCGAATCTAAGTATTATATTTCAAAGGAATATTTTGTTTGATGAAACAATTTTCAAAATTAAGTTACACAAAAATGAGAAAACGTATCTACCTGCTTTTGAAAAAGATGAGAGAGGAAAATGTAAACAGGAATCCATATCCAGACCAAACTTGAAATGACAATATTCATAAACTAGTAGGCAGAGGTTGGGAATGACTTTTTGGCAGAGGGCTGGATCAAATAGTGCCCAACCCTCCACAAAGCAGCTGGATTTGCATTTGGCTCCAAATTTAAACAGCGATTAATGTGAGCTGAGGTTGCAAAGGAACAACTGGGCTTGTGTGGCTTAAGACTGTGCTTCTGATTGTTGCTTTGCAGCCATGCCTTGCATTTGGTGTTTTTAAAATCTGGTGCCAAATGGAAGCTGTGCTGATTTTGGCAGGGATCAGATTCATTTGGGAAGTGTGACTGGGAGCTCTTGAGCACAATCAGTCCCACCTGACAGAAGTGTGGCTTGAATTTGGTGCCAAACTGAAATGGCACACCACTGCTGCAAAAGAACACTTGGGCCTCCACACTGTTTTTTTAAAACACAAAGGAAGCAGCTATACCCACACCACGCAAACTAGATGATAAGGTCTGTAGAAAACTGAGATAAGCACTAAAAAAGAAACCCAACAAGGAAATTCAAACAAAACACACTTAACAGTGTGAAGAATACTGCAAAGCATACACACTGGTGGGTTTTCTCTCCCCAGCAGGAACTGGTAAGTATTGATCCCATGCCCAGTTCTTTGCTGAGGCAGGGCCAGAGATTCCTAAGGTATGTTGTTTGACCATGACTGAAGGATTGCTTGAACTGAAGTGATGGTTTGAACTCCATCATTTTTCTAGTCTTCCCCCAGCTCTTGTCACTGAAACAAAAGTTTACACTTGAAGATGGGGAGTAATATTACTGTACAGTAGCCTGGCCAGGCTGTTCAGTGCCTTTAATTCCAGTGTGTCTAGTCTAGTTTTGGCCTGGAAAATGAACAGCCTGAAACTTGGGAAAGGAGACACAAAATAATGGGTGCCAAACTGAGTCTGAAAACATCTAAGACCAGTGATGAACTGCGGAGATCAATAAGTACAATAGCCTTTTCTTAGCCTACGAACTTAATGTAACTCTCAAGGCCAAGAAATACAAATATGCAAGAACCTTTTTTTTGTATGAGCCAGTCTGTGTACCATTTATGACACTGGGTACTTACTTCCCTCTTACATGCACAGTTCTGCATATAGGAGGGAGCCTGACAGAGTTGGCAAGAAGAGATTTACTCATGTGGGAAAAACATATGGAAAAGGGCAGGATACTGCAAGACACTGTCTTAGGGTCATTGATTTTGCAAAAGCTGAGACTATTGCCACCATGAATGCCAGACATGTTATTTTTTAAGTGTGCCTGCCACTGAAGGTGGAAAGGTTACTAATATGAAAGAAAAGGAACTCTTCCTTACCTCTGACTGACATTTCTCTTCAGGCTGGAAAAAAGAATTAAAAATGCTTGTGTCAAAGTCATATGGATTATTTATTTGATACCAAATAATATTGTCCAAAAACAAAGGGAGGAAATTAGATGATTTCACATGCTTAAGTATCATAGAAAGCAAGAGGATGTAAGGGCAATGCTAAGCACAGAAATTCTTTTGGTGCAATTTAAGTATGTTTAACATTTTGTATGCCCAATTCTGAGCATTAAGATAGTCATTTCCGTTTTATGACACTCACCGTTGAGTAAATAGATGATGTGCTTGAAACCAAAGAGAGAGAGGATCCATGCACTAAAGGAAACATAAAATAAGCAAATTGCTCAACTGATTCCTTGTGTACAACACAGTAAATGACAGCAGATAATTCACTGTGGATGCTGCTAGCAGGTTTAACATTTCATCAGCAGCCTATTAAAAAATTGCATCACCAGTCATAAACATATTTACTCAAAAAAATCTTTGCAGAAGTGTCAAGAAGGAAGCTGAAATAAATGGAAGCATTATACAGAGCATACCCAAAAATGATCTCAAAATAAAGCTTTTTTTAAATTTAAAAAATCATTATTGGGATGTAAACATTTGCCTGCCTCTTATGTTTCATACATTACAAAGTTATGATAGTGCATGAAAAATGAAACAGAAGATGATGAGAAGCAGACAAAGTAAAGGTTAAACTGACCAGTCCAGTTTCACCATATGGTTGGCCTGAAGCATAAACAGCAAAAGGGAGTTAAAAGGTTTTATAAATAAAGAAGGCTGAATATTTAGGTGTTAATATAGGTAAAGACTCATATTAAGACAGCAAAGAGGAAAAAATGAATATATTTTGACATTTTCTCTAGTGCGGGTTTCCCCATTCTGGTGCCTTCCAGATGATGATTTAGCCGAGATTCCTGCATTGCAGGGGGGTTGGACTAGATGTCCCTTGGGGTCCCTTCCAACTCTACAATTCTATGATTCTAGGGACACAATAGTAGTAGTCTATTAACATCTGGAGGGCACTAAGTTGGGGAAGTCTTTTCAAGGGGGATAAAAGTGGGGGAAATACAAAAAATATGCTATTGCAAAATAAACAATTCAACTGGCTCAGAAACAGATTTTGCTGTAAAAAGTAAGTTTCTTCTAATGCTATGAGTACACAATAAAGCTGTGTTATGCAAAATGCAATTGCCTTAAGCATGTCTAGATATGTGGCTGAAAATCTGCCATCAGCAATAACTAGTACAGAGGCAACGAGACAAGCTGCTTCATTATTGGCCATCCCACTTCTCTCCCTTGCAACAAGACAGAACCTATAGATCCTGTTTCTTTTACACAGCATCCCCTTAACCTACCTCCCTCCCGCCTCTGTACCAGAAAAGACGTTTCAAACCAAGGTCCCAGCATGTCGCTTTTCTTATAAAACACATTAATAGCCTGTGCTACTTCAGAGGCCGCTGAACTCACATCAGTCCAAAGAGCACAACCAATGTTCAAGGATGATGAAGTTGCAGTCCAACACCATCTGGAGGGCCACAAGTTCCCCATCCCTGCAGTAGAACATTAAAACACCCACCCACCCACAGGCTTTGGGCTAATTAAGCAATTTATGGCCTTTTAAACCATAAAGTATTGTTTTTGTTTGTTACTTATGTATTTTTTGTGCTTTTTATATCGTGAACTGCCCTGTGATCCTTGGATGAAGGACAGTATAGAAATTTAATAAGCAAAATAGTAAAATAGCAAACCAAAAAGAGCTTCCCTGAGGCAAGACTTAACAACTGTGTGTTTATTGCACTAAAGAAAATAAATAAATAAAAATCTGGAAGTGCCAATAAACAAACAACAAACAAAAGGGGGGAAAGCCCCAAGAACCAATCTGTATTATTAAAAACGATTTCCACAATGACAAAGAAAGAAGTTTAATATGCAATTTACATCATGGGTTGAATCAAGTTTAGAGTACACAAACTAAAATCAATGGAACTTTAAACTGGAAGTGGTTCTATGCGCATGATACAAATTTAGCCCAGTTCAGGAGCTTAGTCCCCATGGGACTATTGAAAAGATGCAGGCTAGCTCTACCTGCAGACACATGATCAACTTTAAACTGAAGTGGGCTTGGTTGTATGGTCATTCTACATGGATGGGAATCGAAATCCCAATTGCCGTCCTTGCTGAAGGAGCCTCACCTGTGTGCATCCATACCTCTGCTGTCCTTCAGAATGATGCTGACCACACGTCATCTGGATGTGTGGCTGGCATATGTCTCAGTGTCAAAGGGGCACAGCTAGCCTGTGCGTTCTCAATATAGTGGTACCTCGGGTTAAGAACTGAATTTGTTCCAGAGGTCTGTTCTTAACCTGAAACAGTTCTTAACCTGAGGCGTGCTTTCATTAATGGGGCCTCCCACTCCCGCTGCACCGCTGGCACGCGATTTCCGTTCTTGTCCTGGGCCAAAGTTCTTAACCTGGAGCAACCACTTCCTGGTTAGCAGAGTTTGTAACCCGAAGCATCTGTAACCCCAAGCGTCTGTAACCCGAGGTACCACTGTAGAGAGTACCTGATTCGGGCTACAGTAATATTACATTTCACAAGCCCAATAACCATATATCATTAAGTTCTTACTTTCAGTAGCAGCTCCATACTGCTATGTCTGGCTTCTTTGGAATTTTTTCTTGTAAATTTGAAATAAGATTGTGTTAGACATTTCCAACTATTTGTAAGGGGACCTTTCCAGGAAAATAAATTCTATGGTGTGCTCATAATCCCCAAGTAAGAAAATGATTCTGTCTTAAGTAATTTAATTTTAAATTAATCAAAAACAACTAATATTTTGGTAGCTTCTTAGTGAGTGGTGTGTGTGTGTGTGTGTGTGTGTGTGTGTAAATATATATGAAAATCTGAATACTGATTGTGATTTTCTCTTGCTTCAGAACTGTATATTAAATTACTCTACTTTTGGACTTATATTAATCTTGGCATGCCAAGCATTTTGCATATTTCATTCTGTATGCTCTCAATTTCTCCTTTATTACAGGTTATAATTCTCATAGCGTGCCACAGCCAAAGGAATGAAAATAGTTTTAAATGCTATTATGAATTAAACTAAAAATACATTCATTGCCACTGTTGCATTGTCCACATAATTTGTGGAAAAGGGCAAATCAGAATATCATATTGGCCTATTAATGATCTAATAGTTTGACATGAAAGTCAAGAAGCAAAGGATTTTTTTTGTCTTAACTCATGCCCTTAAAACAACTATTTGTTTTGCTTTCTTCCATGGCATTCATAATAATTTTATAACATGCATTGCAATACATACAAGGACACAGCAAATTCTAACTTTGGCTGGGAAATTTGGCAGTGTGAAATGGAGCGGTAGAGCCACCACCATATTCGAAGCCCTGACACTAATGCTGACCAAGTAAGGAGGAGGGGGCACTATTTTTAATTTTTTCACTGCACCAATTCCAGGCTGATGCAGCAAAGATGATTAGAGAGCTCTTTGAGAGCCAGAAACCAGCAGTTCCTTGAACGGTCCACCTTCACCCGACTGCCACCTATTAGGGCCTAGAACTGCAGCACGAAATAGCCAACTGATTGATCTCTCTCAGCAAGACAATGCTTAAACTAGGTGAACAGGTTATGAATCCAAATCAGCACTTCAGCTTTTGAAAAATAGCTGGTTTCTAGGCAACATTGCAACTTCAAAGGAAAATCCTGAAAATATGATGTTGCATGTGCCATAACTGAACTTTCTCAGATGAAATCATTATCCACAACGACAGGCACTCACAATCCACATCTGACAGACAGTATGAGAAAGAAGCCTGAACTATGGAAGACAAAGATCTACACTGTTCAAGTTGGGAAATTGCTACTTGGAACATCTTGAACTGAAAGGTAAAGGAAATGAATTTTAGAGGCTCTTAAAAGGTACAGAAAATGGCACCATTCACATTTATATACAGAGGGAAACAATAAGCAGTTGATTATGAAATGTTGTGCATCTTAAAATGCAAGGACACAAATATTTATGCAAGGATATTATTTAGTAAGAACCATTAGGATTTTACGAGGTATTTGGCAGAATGTGTTGACATCTGAAAGCAATGGTTAAATGTTTTAGTGGTATTAGGCAAATTAGTATCACATTAGGACTCAAGTAAAACATTCCCATCACCTCTGTTACCTCAATTAACGTTTTTTTTTAAAAAAACAACCCTAGATTTTATATTTGCAATTTTACTTAAATATAAACAAGTCAATGTTAATCAACATTATGGTTAAACACTTGAGAAACTTTAATAATGTTTGATTCAGTTTATCCCCCAGCAAATTTCAATCGGAAACTTGATCCAACTTTTGAAAAAGATTTTCAGCTCACTTACCCTCTTCAAAGCCATCCCGGAATGACCCCGAACGGCTCATTGTCCTGCTCTTTTCATCCAGTGACATTGAGCTGTTCCGGAACCGGGTGTCACTGTAAGGATCATAAGGGCCATCCGCATTAGAAAGACTGTGCGTCCGTAGCATGGTTGGGTTTGACAAGCTCATCTGGGCTGCTGTGGTGGGGCTTGCTAGAAAGCAAGGCAGACACAGAAAGTTCAAAAATCTATGCACATGCAACTACCAAAAGCAGCAACTCTATCACTACAAAAAGGTATCAGTCTCTGTCTACATCTAATTAACTGAAAAGCTATACAAAGCCAACAATGGTACACAGTTGATTTCAACACATGACATTGAGCTCATTGAGCAATCTTCTAATCACAGACATTCATATTCCACACAGCCTTTCATGTTTCCTCCTCCCCTCACTCCCATGTCCCCTTGAATTTTGGAGTTAGCTTGGTTTGGGTTACTCCTGCCTCAGCATCAAGACTAATTATGATTTGTTAAAATGTTGCTAAAGCACTAGCTTTGAGCAGTGATCAAGGCAGAGGGAAGGCAAGCAAAGGTCCCCAAGAACTCTGGGGTGCAGAGACAAGGATTGCAGATGCCTAGGTACAGGCCCCAACACAACTCCAGACCTCACCTGAGATGGGTCCTTCTGAGTCAAAACCCCTAGAACAACACTCCTGAGTCAGAACACATTTAAAAGAACCACTACTGTCATCACTAAGGGCCTTTCTATCTTCAGTCTGCCACCTGGCAAAGAAGGTAATGCACCTGGGCATATATAACTGAGCAGCAAAAGAGTGCAAGGACGCCGCTTTAAACATTTTTAGATTTTAATGGCATACGGGAGTGGGTGGCACTGTGGTCTAAACCACTGAGCCTCTTGGGTCTGCCAATCAGAAGGTCGGCAGTTCGAATCTGTGCAACGGGGTTAGCTCCCATTGCTCTGTCCCAGTTCCTGCCAACCTAGCAGTTCGAAAGCATACCAGTGCGAGTAGATAAATAAGTACCACTGTGGCGGGAAGCTAAACACCATTTCTATGCACTCTGGTTTCCATCACAGTGTTCCGTTGTGCCAGATGCGGTTTAGTCATGCTAGCCACATGACTCAGAAAGCTGTCAGTGAACAAATGCCAGCTCCCTTGGCCTAAAACGAGATGAGTGCCTCACCCCATAGTTGCCTTTGACTGAACTTAACCATCCAGGGGTCCTTTACCTTTTACCTTACTAATGACATATGTGGGTCTTGTTTGAGCAAGGTGTCTTGCTTGGAGCTGTCCATGGTACTGCTGTCCCTACACATTCTGACTGATTAATAGTTGCCATCCCTTTGACTTCCTAACACCATGTCTGTTTCCTTCCATCCACTGAAACCCTATTCTACCTACAGCTGCACACTCTAGCTTGGAGCTAATCCAGATCAGTGAAAATACTGGTGAAAGCATAATACTAATTATGGTTAGCTCCAAAAACCTTAAAGAAGGGAATTTTACATGCAAGAGCAGGGCAGAGAAAAGAGTGCAAGTCCATGGGGCACTCAAGTACAGTTAGAAGACTGGATGGCATTATACCTACACTGGTCTTCATTGGTAAGCTACATCAAACAAATGTCTCCTCATATGCATCAATTCTGTAATCACCAGTGGAATAATTTTCTATCAGACAAAATCCATCACCCAAAGTAACGAAAATGATGATTTGTACAGAGAATGAGTGCTGCTTGTAATTCATTCTAGTTCCAAGAATTAAAGCTCCACTTCCCATTTCATATAGAGTGAGCATTAGCTTAGAATAAAATGGACTCAAGTTTTCCCATCATACTAGCAAATCTGATGGGACGAGAGAAACAAAAAGCAATCCCTGCAAAAGGCATGAATCCCAAGTTGTTCACTGCAGGTGTGGTCTGGCTTATTTCTTCTATCCTTTCAAGAAAGCACAAGTTCTAAGCAAGCAGTAAAAGCTGCAGGAACAGGCAATATAGGCTTGTTTTAATCAGATTTTATTGCAGTGTCTTGGCATTTTATTGTATGTCATTACTGTTGGTAGCTATGTTAGGCACTGGTTGATGGAAAGGTGGGGTACAAATTTAACAAAGAAATAAATTATATCGTAAATATATAATCTTAATCAAGAACTTTGACACTTTATTAACAGGATTCCTTGAAATACACTTTTTTTAAAAGCTCCTTAAAGATGGAACTACATCAATGCAGAAATCATTAAATTACAAGGATAGGCAACAGGTTTCTGCAAGTCACAAAGCAACGCCCCACGGGTGTACACTTAGCTTTTTCATATACTTTATAGTCATTCTTGTAAACTGGTGAATGTATTTAAACAGTCAAACAAGAGCAAAGTACTCCAGGGTTTGTTTTTAGGGAGATATAAAAAATGGAAACGTACAATATTTCATAATTAGTAACTGGAATTAAGACGGGTATATATATATGGAGTTTTCCTTCTTGAGGTAAGGCATTTACAGGACTGTGTTCCCAGAATGAAGACTGTGTTAATATAGCTGGAGCTCAGGCTATAGTCCAAGTGAGCTTTAAAGGACAGGAAGAGTATGGGGTTTGAGAAACTTGAATGCGAATGATATGGCTGTTAAGCCACACACTGATAGAGAAGGTTCCTTACTGGTTTGTCAAATAACACTTTTTTAATATTCAAGTTCATAAGTTTACTGTTCTAACCAAATGTCATGACAAACTTATAGAAATAGTGCTAATACAATAATACAGAACATACATCACCAAAATAAGCCAACTTCCATGATGAAAGACAGGGAAGATATCATAGACACCAACAACCTCAAATCTAGCTTGATTTCAGATTATACCTCTAAATCTCCAAAACAACTTATAGCGATTTTTTCCATCTTCTGTTTTTGCAGCCACTGCATAGAGGGCCATTCAAAATTACTTATTTTGAAAGAAACCTGCAGGTTTTGTTCTAAGATTAGCTATAATGCTCCTTTTTATAACGCTTCACTTCTATTGTTACTTATTGTGGCAGATCATAAAAAATCTTAATAAACTGTTGAATATTAAGTATCTATATATGCATTAAAGGTAAAGGTACCCCTGCCCGTACGGGCCAGTCTTGACAGACTCTAGGGTTGTGCGCTCATCTCACTCTAGAGTCCGGGAGCCAGCGCTGTCCGCAGACACTTCCAGGTCACATGGCCAGCGTGACAAGCTGCATCTGGCGAGCCAGCACAGCACACGGAACGCCGTTTATCTTCCCGCTGGTAAGCGGTCCCTATTTATCTACTTGCACCCGGGGGTGCTTTCGAACTGCTAGGTTGGCAGGCGCTGGGAGCGAACGACGGGAGCGCAGCCTGCCGCGGGGATTCAAACCGCCGACCATGCAATCAGCAAGTCCTAGGTGCTGAGGTTTTACCCACAGCGCCACCCGCGTCCCATGTATGCATTAAATAACCTCTATTTTGCCATACACATCCACTGGGGAAAAATGCCTAATTTAACTACCCTTCCTACTTTTCTTCTCCTGGAATTTCCTGACAACTGGTTTTGTACTTCACTCTTATTTTAGTGATTTACTTGGCAACCTTGGCAGCAAATTTTCTTAGCATCTCAGTTATTTGGTCCCTGGACCAAATAACACTGTGGCAACATGACTACACAAACAGGGCAGTAGTATCTTTTGCTAGCATTAGATGTCATCAGGCAAGAGCAATTAATGCCATATATGGAGTACCATCAGTGTGAAGATCTCCTTGGTCATGGACCATGGATAAATTGCAATTAAGTGTGATTAGGACTGTTGTGTAGCAGAATCCTCTGCTCGCAGAAGAGAAGGGCGTGAACTGAATATCACCCACAAGAGATGGCAGCTACTTCCCTTCCCAAGCTCTGAAGCTGGAATGGCCATTGCTATTCAGGCCCTTTCCGCCATGTTTGGTTAAATTATAGTCTCTTTGTTTGGGATGATAGTGCTACAGCGCCTACTTTTGCTTCTTGCCTTACTGACCACCATTGTGTGGCCCTCAGATGGCTGTCCAGAAGGGACTCTGGCCCTTGTTCCCCACCCCGGGAAACATCCCATGCTAATATACCCTTAAGGACATGACAAAACTGCCTATTTTCCCTCTGGCACTCTCCTCTCTCAGATTGCTAGGCCAGTTACTGCTGGCCTTCCTAAGGCCTCCTTTGCAGATACATCTGTCCTGGGTTTTAAAATCTTTGTGTTTGGCTTCTCCCATGCCTAACTCTCTGTACTTGCCTACGGACTTCCTAGCTTGACCTTTTCCCTCTGATTACGGTATACCTCATAATGTAGCCTGCCATATTGAAAGGCCTAGAGAGTTGCTAAGCATTCCATTCTGGGTGATGAAATGATATATAAAACATTACAATGATGTGGAGGAGGGGAACGACTGAATTTAAATAAAATTATTTTTAGAAAATATTTGATTCTGAGTACTATCACCATACAGTTGTGCAGGCAGAGATCCCACTTTAGTTTGTGGCGAGGAAAAAAATCAATGCACTATCTGCTACTTTGCAAAGGTAAGCATGCTAAACATGTTCCAGTTATGAAAAGCAAATAGTTCACTCACCCAGTTGGGAGAAGTTAAATCTAGTTCCAGAAGGTGATGTGATGCTGGAACCAGAGGAAAATGGAGAACTGACAACTGTATCCTGAAGTCCTCCTGCAGAGTGGGAACGCAGCCATTCTTTTGCTTCTTCTTGACTGCGAAGTTGTGATGAAGGAGTATACCTGTGCAGACAAAATAAGCTTTAGCATTTGCTCAAAAAATGTTTCGTTTACCGAAAATCCATAAGCACGTGGACAGGGAAACAGGCAGAGAGCCTGAAAGAAGTCTCCTGCCTACCAGAGGCCTTTTCTTTTCTTTTCTACGTTGGATTGTGCCAGAAGGAAGTTAAATGGGGTGGGTGGGGGAGACTTTGGGAGTCTTAAAAATGGCTTTTCTTATATTCAAGCCATGTAAATGATCAGAATTTCACTTTTCACGAGACAAAATGTTTTAATTTCATTTTACAAATGTTGGCTGAGTATCCAATCTCATGTGAAATGCTACTTTTCAGCACAGGACAAACATGTTGTTGGAAAGGTGGTTGAAAGATCTGTAGAAAGAGGACATAGTGAAGCAAAAGGAGATGCATATAAGCATCCATGAAAAGAAATAGTGTGAATTGAGAGGAAGCTTTCACATGGCTAGAGATTAACAAAGCAATTGCTTCCTGGGGCTGCCCAGCCACAGGGATAATTGGAGTGGAGAAATCACAACTGCATCCAAAGCTTCAGACTGGTGTGGCAGAGGAAACCACTCAGAGAAGCCCAGTTCCCTCTCAATGGGCTGGCTCAGGTCCCAGCAGATCTTTAGCCTGCCCTGCTCTGCTTCACTTTGAAAGACCTTGTGTTGGCTTCTGCTGATGGAAAGATTTCTGGCAGCAGCTCCCAAACAGCCAGCATTTCCTGTGGCGGCGAAGCCTCCTTGACTACAAAACCTGGCAGAGTTGGTCAGAAGGACACCTTCACCTAATCATAAACCCTATCAGGGGTGTAGATGTATCCCTAAGAAAGCTACACCAAGCTTGTAAATAGGCACTTACATAAGGTGCACATAAAAGTACAAACTGTCTCCAGACAACTGGGCAAAGATGTTAGCTCTTCCCTGCTTTTCGGGCTGCTGGTTATAGGATAGGGTTGCCATACATCCAGAATTTCTCAGACATAGCTAGAATACGGCAGTCGGAAGCAGTGTCTAGGCAGAAATCACTGTAATGCCCGGATATATGGCAACCCATGTCGGAAGTCTAGATTTTAAGATTTTGCAAAAAAAAGAAAGCAAGCTCAACAACTTTTTTGGTGTCCGGATTTTCACTTTTTGAAATATGCCAACCCTAGTATAGGACCAGGAACGGAAAGACTAGATTAAAATTCCCACTTAATCATGAGAGTCAATGATAAGCCACTGTCATTATTGCTCAGCCTAGCTAACCTCACATGATAGTTGTATAGGCAATGTGGGGCTTGAGTGAGGGTGGTGGGTAACATCCTCCCCATTCAGGGAGAAAAGGATATAGAGCTAATAAATTTTAAAACACACAACAGAGGTCTACTGGTATTTGCAAGACTGGAATTACTGGTCCTTACAAAACAAAAAGCAACAAAAAACAAAAAAATGGGGAGGAGGAACCCAGGTAAAGCCTATTTATATGCAAATATAAATTTTGTGCATGGCAGGTTCTGGATCACAGTGATCATCATCACATCCTCAGTTATTTTTTAGTCTTTGAAGTAAATGAGAATACTTTTAAAAGGGTACTGGCAACACCACTGTCTTCCTGCCATCAGCCTTGAATTTTGAGTATTGGTTTCAGATACTGACGATAAAAGTCATTCATGTGTATAGATCTTTTAGGGATTGGAGCCATAAACAGGCACACAAAATTTAGCACAATATGCTAAAGAACAAACATATAAATACCTACCTCTTTGACATTTAAATACTTTAAACTTAAAAGATGTCATTCATTATTTAGCTGGAGACATTTGACAGGCACAGAAAACAATTCAGACCGACCAATCTCTCCCCACCCTCACCCCACAAATTAGCAAAATGCTTTTAGCACCTAGCTCAGTGTGACAATCAAAGCTGCTGCAAAGAACAATGTCTTTGTAGTGCAGAATAAATTGCAGCTCTAATGTAAAGCCATCATTTCTGTTATCTAAAAAAGTATTTATAATACAGTCTGAAATTGAACTGTTTTGCCAGATACTTTCCACTGAGTGAATTCAGCACTTTCATTTTGTTGTATTCAAGTTAATGAACCTAGTAAACCTAGTAAACATGTTTAAAGTCTACTTTCTTTACAAAAGAAACATATTCTTCTCTGTAATTTCTCTTAATGTCAAATCACATGCATTATATGTTTTGGAAGCAGACATTTATGGAGCACCTGATTGGTTTGATACTTTTTTGTATTTAAAGTACTAGTACAGCTCCAACTGTTGTATTGTAAAATGTGCATTTTTAATGACCTCTAAATTCCTCTTGATCTGCATTTCAGAAGTTACACTGTGAGAATATCATCAACTAGTTACTACTTTGGTCGTAAAAGCTGCAAATTATTGCTTGCAAATCAAGCTCAGTGATGGTTTGTGAGATGCACTTTTCGAAGAGCCAGCCAGCTACTGTTGAAGTCCCTGCTCAAGCTGAGACGTTATCAGATGGAAAGAAGCATGTAGGGTAAAGGAAAGGGGGCAATGACCTGCTTCAAAGAGGCTGAGGGAGAAAGGAGGAAGAGATTGCAGCCAGGCACTGCAAAAGCTGAGACCACCACCACCACCAGCACTACTGACGGCCACAAGAGACACACAAAGCAAAGCTCCAAAAACCACATGGAAAACTGCTTATGCTATGTGGAAACACCAATACCTGAGTCCTTTCTTAGGCAAAGTGTTCCTATCAAGATGAGGGTCGCTGTAGAAAAGTTAAAAGAAAAGAACTTCAGAAGAAAAGAACGAAAAGAGGAGGATTAAAGATCAGCTTGAAAGAGAGGAGAATTTACTATTAAACAGCTGCACCATGGTACTGGAAAAGATAATGAGAGCCCCTGCCAAGCTGACATGCAAAAAACCTTCTTACCACGTGTGGGTTGTGTTATATACAGAACATGCACAAGGGACCATGCAAGATGAAGACTTTGGACCCTCAAACCACTTAGCTCCATGTAAGCACCATTTTACTTTTATATGACTTTTTATGGTCATTTGAAGATAGGGATCACACAGTGACCTTCCTGTTTCTGGATGTGGCTGGAAGAAGCTAGCTTTTAATATGAAGTGTACATGCCTAAGATGAATGCATTTAGGACACAGATGGCCACAATCTTTTTTTCTATCTCTAACAAATGCACACCACTGAAAATGGCGACTAGGCAAATGACCAACCAACAGGGATCCGAGTTTCCACTTTCAGGAGACCAGGGTACTACTGTGGTGCAGATCACATGTGATTGTTCCTGGCATCCTATACACAGTAGGAACGGCTACTGTTATAAATTCTCACAAGGGCCACCAATAGCAACAAATACATTTGCTTTAAATAAGGTGTGACAGGTGTGTATTGATAATGCCACTGTATGAGACATTTAAAAAGCAGTTGCAACAAATGCTCTTAAAATATACTGCTTTAAACAAACTAATAATAACAATCTTGGATTCTCCAATCACAAGACTTTCAATCTAGCTGAAAGGTTTCCCCACCTACTGAAATCTGAAATGGTACCTGTGCAGGAGACATAGAAGCGTTAGAATTAATTCTCTATCAGTTACTGGTGTCAGATGAACAAAGCACAGATGACAGCAACAGCACTTCTGACATACCTTGCTTCCTTGCATTCATTTTTACAAGGACACACACATACCCCTACGACCCTCCCTCTCCCACCCCACAAGCTAAAATGGGTGAGCAACTTGTAACAGGAAATATATTTCAGCCACGGTGGGAGGGTGGGGGATAGAGGGATCAAGACAAAAAGGTGATACGGCCTGAAACGTGAGGGAAAGCAGCATGCCACCAGAATGCCGAAATGCTAGTGAGAGTTTACGCTGGCAAATAAAATTATGGAACTTTAAAGAGATTGTTCATTTTGTTCTTGTAAAACTGCCTCTCCCCAGAGTAAACTGGGACACAGTGCTGTAAAATGGTCTCTCACTGGCATGTCTTTTGAGTGACGGTTTACACATCCCAGTGAAACACACACACTCTTCACTGAGCACAGTCTTGCACAATACACTTTTGGCTTCTCAAGTGTGAAAATGAACCTTCTCGGCTGTTTGTGCATTCTACTGCCCTGAGACAGCATTACCTGTCCTGCCTCCTGGGTAAAGTATTTCTGCAGAATTTGGGACTAGCAGCAGGGGAAGAGAGAGGGCTAGAAGAATAAAGTCCAACAAGACAAAAACAAAAACAACAAAAAGAGAGAGGAATATTAGCACAAAAGGAAGAAAGGGAAAGAGTTTTTGTATGTTACGATTCCACAGCAAATTAGAATGTTCTAAGTGGGAAAATGGTCTACAACGGGGTTAGACAGCTTCAAAATTTCTTTCAACTCCTGTGGTTTTCGCTGGAGAAACATTTAACGTCAGTTCCAACTTCTTTGTTTTGTGGTTTCTTATCCATACAATGGTTGCATGAGAACCATTTTCCATAGGAATGCAAACTGACAAGGATCTTGAACAAATGGGTAAGTTGGCATGCCGTTGCAGATCCATGACCATAAAACGAAGTTGATAGGTGCCATTCTCAAGCCAAAACAATCTGAGGAACTGCAGATACTAGAACCCAACTTTTGCTTTGAGTGGTGAACCAACCATTGAAATGGATCTGGGAAAGATCTAAATACATGGGTCTGCCTATTTCTGTGGTGGATATGGAGGGCAGAGAACAAGTGAGAGCATTCTGGTGAAAATGCTTTTATTTAGGACAATAAACCTCCCCAGCTGCCGTAGCCCAAGGTGGGTAGGAATCGTATCATTCCTATGTTCTGTAGAAGGCTCAGCACATCTCTTTTGCAAGAAAAGGTAAATGTAGTAATATAGCTACAGCAGCAGTAGCAGTAGTACAGCACAAAAAGTTCATACTATCATCAATTATACAAGAAAAAGTGACATATCCAATTTGTCTTTGTTTAGCTCCTGGTGCCTACCTTCTAACTTGCCCTTACTCATCAGATCAAAATTGTGGTAGTAAGTAAGATCAATGAAAATAGCTCACTTTTGCAATCAAAATAAATATAGGATGACAAAATTAAACTAGATTACTTAGTCATCATAACTGTGATGGCTATGTCCAGAAAGGAACAACAGATACTAAATCTTAGGGCCAAACTACACGTGAGGTTAAGAACATCATTAAATGCATCTTTGCAGCTAATGTCCAGGTTTCTAAAAATACAAATTACACCATATTGATAATTAATGGGAACAGAATAGATATGAAGAGGGAATTTAAGTCTTTCATCTTCTGCAATCCTAAAGAAAATCTCTCTTCTGAAGTTGGTATTTGCTTTGGGGAAAAGCTCCATTGGCATTAATGGATTAGTTTCCTCCATATCAAATACCAGCAACACAGGAAGGATTTTTCTCAGGACTGCAGCAGAGGCTTAAATTCCATATTCTGGTCTGTCCTGGTCCAGTTAATTATTTGTTAATTAAACCAGATAATGCAATCTGCATTTATTTTAATGGCACATTAAATGTCATATGTAGTTTGGCCCCTAGTATTTTAAAGTACTTAACATTCATTATCTCAATAATTACCAATAGGCCAGTATTACTGTCCACATGTTAAAAAGGGAAGAATAAAGTGGATTGATAATGGCTTGCCTAAGATTATCTAGCAAATTTGTGGCTGAGCTGAGATTTGAACTAAATCCTTCCCAACTCACATCTCTCCCTATGTCTCGGGCACTATGCTTTATGTTGAGTTTTTATGCCTTGATCTATGAAATTATAACCTACACTGATTTATTGGCCTAATACAGTACTGAAAAGTAATGTACTGATGTGATCCTAGCTGAGATCTAAATGGCAGAACAGGATGCCCATCGAATGGATGGACATGACAAGGCATGCTGCTCTTTTCAAGTATTGTTTGACAGGAAATAAAGCATGTTCTTCGTGGTTGCCACACTATGTCAAGGTGTATGCCAAGCCTCTTATTCATGGCTGTAGTTCTCACTGGTGAAATCTGACTTGTGACGATCCAGTTCATATATGAGGTGGTTTGTTATTACCCGTCTGAAAATCTAGGCACTTTTCATCATACATGTTTGGGAGCCCAGAGTTAACAGAGATTTTTTAAAGGATGACAGGCACAGCGATCACAGCCATCTGTTGAACACCCTAGATGAATTCATGCTTTCACAACAGCTTCTCCATCAATCCTTATTTACCTCATAGGAATGTCAAACTGAACAAAAATAAGTTATCCTGAATGACACTTGAACTCAGTGGGAATAATTCACAGTGAAACATGTCATGATTAAGCTACCGATTACATAAACCACAGTATGTATCACAAAGGTCTTGGGGGGGGGGGGCGGAATCTCACCTCTCTGACAATGTTGTCTTTACACTGTTGGTTCTAACAAAGGGAGTCAGCGAGTCATCTTTAGAAGCTGCAATCAAGCCACTGGACGAGTTGTGGCTCAGGCCGCCTCCACTGCTGAGTGAAATATCTATGGATTCACAACTGGTATGCAGGCTGCTAACAGACTGGTATCCAATCCCATCCTTGCTAACAGCAGAAGAACTACTGGCATTAGTGCCCCAGGTTAAGCTGTTGGAAGGAGCCGAATGAGCTGAACTGGGACTAGAAGCTAATGGAGACTGGTTCATGTCTGCATTCTTGCTATAAAGGGGACTACTACCACCACTGCTCAGTATGCCACTGCCAGGAGAATCCAGGTTCCCCTGTTGGTTCATGGTTGCATGTGGGTTGGAGATGACCACTGAATTTTTCATGCTTTCTGCAGTTGTGATGGGAGCTTGTTTACTTGGCTTTCCACCAAAAAGTCTGAAGAAGGGAAGAAAAGGAAAGAAAGTCAGGAAACATACTAAGAACCTTTGAGTTTAAACTTTTTTTTTCATATTTTACTTGGCTCAAACACATTTGAGAGAAATCCTTATTTGTCAGATTAACGGGATACATTAGAGATTATTTCGTTCTGATCTATACTGTGTGTAGATGGACATCCACAGAGTATAACCTGCACTCAAAATAGGCAAATTGGTGTCAGCGCACCAATGAGTGAGGCATACTAATGCTGACTTGGATCTGAATGAAGTGTGATAGCTTCCCCCTTTCCTCTATGTTCACCTCTGTCACTAAATGCTGGATCAAATAAGGTCATTCCAGGATTTCCCTCTGCCCATGCACACCTCTAATTATTCTGCCATTGTGTAAATACGTAAGTATTCATATTAACATGCTTTTCAGGATGTGCATCATGTACTTTCTCCTAGATTCATGTTGGGCAAGCCACTGTCCCACTTAATATTGGGGGGGGGGGCAAGGGGGAGGAAATGGGCACCAAGCTCACCTATAAAGTATATGCAATCTTGGCTAGGATCACCAGAATGACTGTTTCTAGCTATGAACAGGTCTGCAATGACAGTGTTTTAGCAAATCTGGCATGCAAAACATGTATTCTTCTTACAAAAGGAAAGGAAAATTTCATTTTCAGAAGAGGTGATCTTTTGGATTTCATCCAGTGTAACAGAGGATTTATTGTGGCTAACGTCGTTCCCAGAGAATATTTCATTCAGTGTTTCACTCTGTTTTTACTTTATACACTGCTTTTATGGCTTTATGCCATGAAGCTGTCTATACATCATCATCATCATCATCATCATTATTATTTCTGTTTAAAGAATGTCAAAGTCAGAATATAACCCCCAAAGCTTCTGAACTCCTTTCAGGCACTGCACAATTGAACAAGCTCTACATACCTGCGCAAGGTAGGGGAGGCTACATCTGGGTACTTGACTCCTTGCTGGTGAGCACTCTGGGATGCACTTGAAACCGGCTGAGATGCTGGGTTCATTTTAACAGAATTACAAGAGATTACACTTTCGTTGTCCGATGAGATCCCTTTCTCTTTATCCGTTTGGTTGACTAAACCTGGCAGAGAGCTCCCAAGGGCAACTTTGGCTGGCTCTCTCATTTTAGGAACAGGCAAGCCTGCTGACTTGCTACTTATGTTGGAATCTATGCTACTGGTGCTAGATCTATTGCCAGCTCCGCTTCTGCTGCTGGATTTGCTGGGCCTGGGTAAACTCCGGTACTGAAGATTGCTTTCGAGTACTAATGGCTAAGTAACCATCGTCCTGATTCTGTGAGCCATCAACACTAGTCTTCCGACCAGTAGACCTTCCCATAAGTCCAGATGACTTGGGGATTTTGCCCAGGGTAGCTGATCTACTAGTGATAGTTGCCCCACTAGCTGTTATTATGGTCATGCCTACAGCTGACCCACTCTGTTTTTTAAATCCAAATGCATTTGTGTTAGCAGCAGCTGTTCTAGAGTTATTTGCAGAAGGTTTCTTTGATTCATCACCACTGCTCCGTCCTGCATCTGATGGGGAACGTTTAATGTGTCCGGATTTGGGAGAAATTCTACCCTTTTCCGATACCTTGGCATCATCAGTTTTTCCTAGGAAAAAAGGAAAGTAAGTTCAAATATTGGATGGTACCAAACACTGTGCACATTAGTATAACGAAGTGATGAAAAAGCTTAAAACACATGAAAAACAAGAGTATGTGGAAGCATTCTAATTTTGCTTAATTTCTAGAAATCAATAGCACTATGCACAGGAATGACAGGATAATATAACTGCTCTGTTTAAAAGTGAAATTTGAGCACATGGGCCCAATGATTCAAACCAAGTGAGCACGGTATCCTTAGGGCAGATGTGGCAAAACTTTGGCTCTCAGGTGTTGCTGAACTACAACTCCCATTGGCCCCACCAAGTACAGCCAATGGCCAAGGATGATAGGAACGGTAGTCCAAAGGTTCCCCACACTTACCCAAGGGCAGTGCTATTTTTCTAGAAAATGAGGTGCCGGAACTAACCATGAATACCTCCACCTGAGAGGTGCCAGAACTGAGTATCATTGAGTTCCAGGTGAAAAAAAGCCCTGCCCTAGGGTATGAAAAATTGGGGCAACTGGAAGTGGTTGTGCAAGAATGAGGCAAGGCAGTGCATCAACCACAGTGGTCCCCTCCAGCCACACCCCTCCTCTCCTCACCCCCATCTCTTAGTTTAAAGTTGTTCTGTCCATACTAACATGCCAGCAGTCCTGGTACTCTCACTCTCCCTTGCTCTGAAGAGGGGGTGCATCCTAAGTGCAAGGCATTCTGGGTAATGTAGGCCATAGAGGGCCTGTGCTGCTATTGTTTCACAGTGGTAGTTAGAAAATACTTTTTTGCACTTAGTTTTGAACAGGGGTCAGCAAACTACGACCCTAGGGCCAGACATGGCCTGTGGGGGTCATTAAACCGGCCCCTTGCCCTTGCCGCCCGCTCAGTCAGTCCCCGCGTGGAGCTAAACCAGTGCAGTGCGTTGGTTTATGTCTGCGTGGGAACTGACTTCCAGGACGCAGCCACGGCTTCCTATTGGCTGCAGGAAGCTTCTGCAGCCAATAGGAAGCCGCAGATGCCACCTCCTCCCTCGCCATGGCTCCAGAAGCCCGCGGGGAAAGAGCAGTGGGCTGACACACATTTGCACGGGTGCGCGCACTCCCATGCGCGGGTGATCCGGCCCGCCAGCGGAAAAGTTTGCCGACCCCTGGTTTAGAACCTCAAAGTTACTTTAAAATTAAGGGTACCTATAAACCAGGCTAAAGGTGCCTACACACTCAGTTTCTCTTGCTATATTTCATTTGCAATGGCATGCAGTGTTAAGAAACGTGCAGGGACAATTAGTTATCACAGCTGGATATGATGCTTGCAAGGCGATAGGTGGCATATGCAACTTAGACACATTTTCTAATTAAGTAGATTGTTATTTTAAAAAAAGAACAAGCTGGTCTTAACTAAGCATTCAAAGGTGCCTTCAGATTTATTTACACTTTCAATAAAACACATGAGTTCTACTGCTTAGCACATACATCATCCATTCAATTTCACCCCAGTTACAAGACACTATTGAGTCGACATCATTGTTGGCAGGACCTCTTCAGTTTGGCACTGGTACACAAGGGCAGAGATTTATTGCACAGTTCTCCATCAAAGACAAGCAGAGATCAAAATGTAGTTGAGATCCTGACAGAGGAAATTTTCTTCTAACTGCACAGATCCTTGGCCTGCATTGCTTGTCTGTTGGCTGTGCATTCCTCACCTGTTCCAGGTGTCTTCAAAGTTCCTGAGGTGGCTGCCGTTTTTGTCCTTGGTGTGGTAATGCCAACCTGAGCTGACATGCCCCGTCTCCAGGAACCCGTCTGCGAAATGACTGTGTTCTTCCTCCCAGAATTGCTTTTATCAGATTCATCAGACACATCAGAGGGATTCCTTCTCCATTTAGACCCAGGCTCCATCTTCACACCACTGTCTGAGCCACCATCGGATTTCTTGATTTCGTCGCCAGACCACAAGGAATTCCGCTCCACTTGGGAATGCTTTTCAGCATCAGTCTGAAGAGAAAAAGGAAATCATAAACTTGTAAACTTTTTCTTCCCCCAGCATCAAAAATCTAACCCTTGAAAAGTTCACTAATTATTTAAAGACCTCACTAAGGACTTTTTACTTAAGTTATTTTTTTCTCCTTTACAATATTTTTTTTTTAAAAAATCAATTCTAAATACAAACAATAATTAAACTGAATCACATTTTCTGTAAATTCATTTCTAATGCACTTAAGCAAAAAAGTCACTAAATAAAAGACATAAAAACAAGATTTATAAAGGTGAGAAATCAACTGATTCATCCTGAGCTTCCTCACAATATCTTTTACTGCAAGACAGGAACCCACTTCAAATCTGTGTTGTGAGCTTCTTCCTTTGTTCTGCTTTCCTATCCCCTTACTGGCAATGTGATCTGTGGAGTATGAAGAAGCAGCTTTGCGCAAGACTGAAATGTGTGCTTCCCGCACACCCACAGCCTCACTCTAACTTTATCATCAACTGAGGTGAGAAATTTTCAGAAGTGGCAATGCTTCACATCTGATGACTAAATTTAAATTTGTGATTACCTAGAATCTCCTAAAAGCCTGGTTTATTTATTCCTCACAATTAATTCTCTCCCCTTTTCCTCCAAATGAATGCTACAAGCTAGGACCCTTCAAGTACAATATTATTATTTTTTCTTCATATGATGACCAAGGGAAGGGACCCTTTTCTGGGATGTATTCTTTATCTGCACTCTTTTGTTTCACTTGCACTGGCTTCACCATCCATCTGAAATGATTTGCAATTCAAATCCCACACATGGAGACTGACAGCCACAAATGCCAAAATAACTGAAAAAGCTGTGAACCTGCTACACATATGGGAACCCAAAATTGCAGGCGCTGGGGGAATCTGTGTCTTTGGGCACTCTATTTATTCCTTATCCTGCTGAGTGGATCCTTTTATTTCCTGCCCTGTTTACATAAATAAAACATTTCAAAATGCAAAATAGGCAACATTTTTCTTCAGACATGAGGCATGATCTTACAAACTAAAGGTGACCTGGGCTCATGTTTCATGGGTGGGGGAGCATTTTCGGCCATTTTCAGATGTGGAAGGAGAGCAACTGCCACATTTTCAGAGGGGTGGAATGACAGAGGCTTCTATTTTCCTTTTTTAAATAAAACATTTTTTAAAAAATAATTCTGCCACAGCAGCTACACTCCTCCAAACAGCCTGTGAGGAGCATCCCTGTAATGTATCACCTGAAAACATGACATCATGGTGTATAATTGTTCTGAGTGCACTGGTGAGGGGAAATATTCTTTTGCCCAAGGAACAGCAGCCATTTCCATTCAAGGAAGAGAAGCTGCACTCACAGAAGGACTCATTCAGTTGAGTGCAATTCTTGAAAATACAGTGGTGCCCCGCAAGACAAATGCCTCGCAAGATGAAAAACTCGCTAGACGAAAGGGTTTTCCGTTTTTTGAGTCATTCCACAAGACGAATTTCCCTATGTGCTTGCTTCGCAAGACGAAACATCTTGCGAGTTTGTTTCCTTTTTCTTAAAGCCGCTAAGCCATTAATAGCCGCTAAGCCGTTAATAGCCGCTAATAGCCGTGCTTCGCAAGACGAAAAACCCACAAGACGAAGAGACTCGCGGAACGGATTAATTTCGTCTTGCGAGGCACCACTGTACAGTGGTACCTCGGGTTAGATACACTTCAGGTTACAGACTCCGCTAACCCAGAAATAGTACCTCGGGTTAAGAACTTTGCTTCAGGATGAGAACAGAAATCATGCTCCGGCGGCACGACAGGAGCAGGAGGCCCCATTAACTAAAGTGGTGCTTCAGGTTAAGAACAGTTTCAGGTTAAGAACTGACCTCCAGAACGAATTAAGTACTTAACCCAAGGTACCACTGTATAATGAAAATGCTAGATGCAACCCACAGTCCCACTGATGCTATACCTCACAGTGTAATCATACAAATTCGGCAAACTGAGTGAAGGTGCACATGCCCTGAGGTGAGGCAAGAGGCTTCCCTCCAGAAACTTAGCTTACTTCAGCAACCCTTACTCCGATGGATTGGTTTTTATTCAAACTGTTGTATTTTAATAAACATGACCTTGCCCTGACATGCTGTGGCTTGTTTCCTCTTTTGGGGTGTGGGGGCAATGGTGCTTCTGCCTTTAGCAGGCATGGGTTTGGCCCACCCACCCCTCACCTAGGAAGAGACATGATTTGTTTTCTCCTTGGGTTAAGGGTTGCTAGCTCACCTGGGCTGGAATGCTCAGTTAGGAAGGGCAAGACTGACTGGATTCATCAATGTCATTCTTCCCCCTGCTCATTCTTAAATAATTAATTAACCTTTATATGCCACTTAAGGAGCTCCAGGTGCTGTACATGGTTCCGCTTCTTCCCTTTTCCCTTCACAAAAATCCCTGTGAGGTATGTTAAGCTGAGAGGCAGTGGCTGGTCCAGTGAGCTTCACGGCTGAGTGAGGATTCTAATCCTGGTCTCCTGGGTCATAGTTCAATGCTCTAACCATTACACCAAACTAGCTCTCCTTTATTTTCATGGTGCGTGGCCTCCTGCCCTCTTTTTCACAGCCTGGGCTTGTGCTAGCTGCTTTTCTAGAGGAACTGCATAGGAATTTTGTGGGGAGCCCCTGATTGGCATCTGGGACTCCTCTTCTTATTGTTACATTTCCTCAACTTGCCGTGTATCAATTCTTCTGGGGTGTGGGGGCAGCTAGGCACCACCAATTTAAAACACACATGAAAACTCTTGATGCACAACTAGAGGCAAAACTCTTTAACGCAGCCACAGCTATGCACTTCATGGCAAGAGAACAAAGAGTAACACTTCATGGCAACTGCGCTGTTATATTAAAAACTGCTATTAAAATATTTTCACGTTTCAATTAAAAGAAAAGAAAAGAAGTGAAATAATAGCAGCACAGAAATATTTACGAAACAGCAACGGTTAGAAAGCATGAACAAATTGCCTTTGACTTGTGAAAACCCCTAAATTATTGCATTCTTCAAAGAAGTTTTAGATGTAATCAGGTTGTATCCACTTTGGAAAGCAAAAGAGAATGCAAATTCTTACAGCTCATCTTGGGGACAGAAAACTTCCAAATTACATACTGATGCAAAATTCTTTACTGTTTTTGGATCTGTTGGCTAGGAACACAGGAAGCTCCTAGAATGCCACCTACAGACATTAAATATAAATTTCTTGTGAAACGCTGCCAAAAGACTGGATAGCTAGTAACAACATGCAACCTTGGAAAATAATAGTGCATTTCATTAAGTAGACACGTTTACATTTCCGCTGAAAGTGTAATCATCTTTACACTTTTATTTGAACTAAATTAAAAATCTATTCCTTAATTAATAGTAGATTATACAGTTTCAGTGTCAAAGAAAGAAAAAGAACTATTTGTTAGATGTGTGTGGTCTTACTCTTTTTTCAAGTTCAGCACCTAATTGTTACATTTCTATGGAAGCTGAAAAGCCACTGATCCTCAGCACAGACAAAGGTTGCTGTGTCTTTCAACTCTCAATGCTGGGACACTGCCTTGAGACAGACTGCAATAGGTGAAGTGTGTTTTTATTTTAAAATAGTTGGCCTTGTATGTAACCTCCGTTTGTGACAACATGAGAAAAGGATGTCTGTGTATATTTCACACTTGGTATGTATGAGTGAAGTCTCCATGAAAAAGAAAAGTTTCTAATCTTGAATATGGACCTTTGGCATGTTCAGTTGTATATGTGTAGATAACACATGGGTTTGGGGGGCAGAGGTAGGCAGAATGGTCTAGTCTTACTCCCCCCCCCCCAATATGTTTGGTCAACAGTCAATACTCTTTAACCACACAGTTTAAGGCAATTCTTTCATTCATCCAGACCAATGTAAGATCATTCAGGGAAAGGAAGAATCGGCATATCAAATATTACTGAAAGCCACCTACTGTAGCGCAACATGGGCAACATATAAAATAAGCAAACATATAAAATATTGTATCAATTTTAAAAAGCACATGGCAATCACCAAAACATATAGGGGCATCAACAATTCATTATTCTAGCCTGGTCGTGTCTCTGCTCTGATCTCTAGGAGCAGTCAGGAAACATCAGAATCTGGAAACTGATCTATGTTTTCTTAGAAGTAGGTCCCACTGTATGGAATGGGGTATACTCTTTAGGGCGGCAGCCTTGAAATCCAGAAGCTTCAAATGAAATAAGTCCTTAATTCTCTTTTGGTAAAGCAACAATATACACAGGCTCATGAGGCACTGAAGGTAATGAATACCTCCAACACTATTAAAACATGTCTGATATAGAAAGGAACCTTACCTGGGAATCTATATTCTTACGAGAGGATGCAGGTGTGTTGGCATAGGAGCTGATGGAGGAGCTTGTGTTAATGTCATCGGTGCTGAGGTTATCTATGGTGTCACTGATCCCACTGCTGACAGAACTGCTGTCATCCCAGCTGAGGGGAGGAAAAAAGCCACAAAAACTTCATAACTCAAACAAACAATAGCCACAGCTACACCAAGAAGCCAGGTGACACACAAGGGAGCTTTAAAGCATCTCAGGGTCTCACAGCAATTATTGATTTAGGCCTCTAGAAACAGTTTCAAACAGAATCAAATATTAATCCAGGCAACTTCCCTAAGTGCTTTTTTTAAAAGAATGCTGACATTATTGCTGTTGTAGCTTTCTTACTTTTACACAACACAAAATCATGCTATCAGATTTTTACACAGAAAGTGAGAGAAAAGATGGCAATTTGGAGGAAGGTGGGCAATGAACTTCATTCTGGATTTTTGCTTAAGTGAAATGAACCACCTGGAGCTTGGTATTTCTCTACAATGTTCTGGCATAGACCTACTTCTATTACCTACCAGTTATTTTATCATTTTTCAGACTGATTTACAGTGGTCTGTCTGTTGGGAATCCTGTGAGGCAGACGATTACTAGTTACAAGTTACAGAAGGGGCAAAGAGCTAGGGG